GAGACGCTAGCTCTTTAGAGCAGTGCCCATTATAGTATTTGTAGAAAAGAGAAAGAGAAGCAACATTACGACGATGTGACAAAGGTTGAAGGTTGGCTGCAAGAGCCAACCTTCAACCTTCAACCTTCAAAGGGGTTCACAGTGGCTTGTGAATTTCAACTCTAAAAAAACCCAGTTACTTACTGCAAACAACTACCGTAATATGGTCAACATTCCTATATTAATGAATGGCAATCCTCTTACTGAGTCCTCCTCTTTACGTCTTCTTGGATTATCGCTTACTACTGACCTTTCATGGAAACCATATATACAATCAATTGCTAAATTAGCTTCTTCTAAGGTTGCTTCTCTTTATCGTGCTCGCCATTTCCTTACTTCTGATTCCATTCTCTACCTCTACAAATCTTTTTCGTCCCTGTATGGAATACTGTTGTCATATTTGGGCTGGTTCTTCTAACGATGCACTTTCTCTTCTTGACAAGGTCCAAAAACGCATTGTAAATGTTGTTGGACCTGGACTATCTGCTAAGCTTGAACCTCTTTCCCATCGTCGTAAAGTTGCATCTCTTTCTCTTTTCTACAAATACTATCATGGTCACTGCTCAAAGGAGTTATCATCTCTAGTTCCATCAACTAAAATTCATTCTCGTTTTACTCGTCATTCAGCTAAGTCTCATTCGTTTACTGTATCTGTCCCTGCATGCTCTAAAAACTTTTATTCATCTATTTTTTTTCCCCGCACTTCAATCCTTTGGAACTCTCTCCCATCTTCATGTTTTCCTGACTCATACAACCTTCAACTTTTCAAGTCTTCTGTCAACCGTTTCCTTGCTCTATAACTCTATTCTTTTTTTTCCTAGTAACTCCCAACTTAATAGTGGTTGCTTGCAGCCTTGTTGGGAGTGAATGCAAATAAAAAAAAATAAAAAAAAAATAAAAAGAGCAGGTCCAACTATGTTTACAATGCGTTTTTGCACCTTGTCTAAAAGAGAAAGGGCATCATTAGAAGATCCTACCCAGATATGGCAACAGTATTCCATACAAGGTCGAATTTGAGATTTATAGAGATAGAGAATAGAATTCAGAGTAAGAAAGTGTCGAGCTCGATAGAGAGATGCAACTTTAGCAGATGCTAATTTTGCAACGGATTTGAAATAAGGTTTCCAAGAAAGATCAGAAGTGAGAGTTAATCCTAGAAGATGAAGGGTAGATGGCTCATTGCATACATTACCGTTCATAAATATAGGAAGGTCTAAATTATTGCGATAACGATTGGCTGAAAAAAATTGAGTTTTATCTGAATTAAAGTTCACCAGCCACTGTGAGCCCCATGCTGTAGCAGAAGTGAGATCATTTTCAAGCTCAAATGCCCCAGGGAGTTGGCTTCTTATCGTGACAAGAATAAATGGTAGTATCATCAGCGAACAATGCCACCTTAGATGTGAGAATATCTGGAAGATCGTTAATGTAAATTAAAAAGAGTATAGGGCCAAGGATTGAACCTTGAGGAACCCCTAAGGTTACAGAATAATAAGAAGAGTGCTGTCCATCAAGCGCAACTTTTATACTACGATTGGAAAGAAAGGATTCAATAATCTTAAAGATGTTTCCAGATACACCATAAGAAGAAAGCTTATGGAGAAGACCAGCATGCCAAACTTTATCAAACGCTTTAGAAATGTCAAGAGCAATGTCCTTAACCTCTCCACCTTTATCTAATGCACGATAAAACCTATCGGTTATTACTGTTAGCAAATCAGCTGTAGAACGAGAAGATTGAAATCCATATTGATGATCAGAAAGTAGGTTATGAGATTCAAGATGAGAGATTAAGTGATTGTTAATTAAAGATTCAAAAACCTTGCTTATGATAAGAAGAAGACTAATGGGACGGTAGTTAGATGAATCGAATCGCTCTCCGGATTTTTTGAAAATAGGGATAACAGATGCTGCTTTCCAGCAGGCTGGAAACAAGACTCTGATAAGCACTTGTTAAATTGTTTTGAAAGGATAGACAACAGCTCCGGAGAACACTTCTGCAAGACTATAACAGGTATGTTGTCCGGGCCGCAAGCTGTAGACGAGTCTAGGCAGGAAATCACTTTAGATAGAGAAGCTGGAGTAATATGGATGTCGAGCAATGGGTCAACCTGTTTGACGGCTATATCAGGTAGAGCGCAACTAGTGGAGTCAAGAGATGATATTGATGAAAAGTTTTCAGCAAACAATTCAGCTTTGTCTTTAGGTGAGGTGACAAAGTCTAAACCATACAAAAGAGGTGGAATTACAGACTTGCCCTTATTATTGATACTAAAGATTCTCCAGAAGTCCCGAGAGCCTAACTTTTGGGATGAAATACAAGATTTCATGATCCGAGAATAGCGGGCTTTGGCGTTAGACAAAACCTTTTTACAATGGTTCCTAGCAGTAATAAAAAGACGCCTGTTTTCTGGAGAATTGTTTTGCTGATAGATATGGAAGTAATGGTTTCAATTGGCAATTGCAGCAGCACAATGTGAGGAAAACCATGGAGAAGAGTGAGGCTTGACCTGGAATCGTCGAGAGGGAATAAAGGATTCCATGCCAGCCTGAATCCACAAAGTTATGTAAGAAGCACATTTGTCAATAGGAAGACGAAAGATTTTTACCCAGGGGCCATCACGAAGAAAATCATGGAAAGAGTCCCAGTCAGCTTTAAGGTAGTTGTAAGATGTATGATGATAGGGGAGGCACCTAAGGGTGAATGTGGAGAAACTGAGCACTGACTAGGATTAGAAACAAGACATAAATCGAGTAGAGAAGGTAAATAATTCGGGTTATCTGGATAGTGAGTTGGAAAGTTGACTATTTGAGTTAGGGATTGAGAAAGGCAAAAGTTGTGGGCCTTAATGCCTGCAGAGTTACCGACACTAGAGCCAAGCCATTTGGTGTGATGAACATTGAAGTCACCGACAACAACAATATTGGCTGATGGATAAAGAGAGAGGGCTTGGTCAATATGATCAGAAATAACATCAAGAAGAGTGCAGTCATGAGATGAGGGAGAGCGATATAAAACAAAGAGAAAGGTGATAGAGTGAAGTAGTGCTAAACGAAAGCACATAAAAGAGTAGACTGTGGATTCAAACCTAGTTTCCCGACAAATGGGTGAATTTTTACGAATGTAAATGCCCAGGCCAAGCATGTGACTATTGGAGTCTTTACAAATTAAAGGAAGATAACCATCAACACTAAGATCACAAGATGAGACAGCTGAACTCAAATTAGTCTCACAAAGAGCAAGTAGGTTTGGTGAACTTTGCAAGAGATAAGACTCAACAGAAGAAAAGTTACCTCGAAGACCACGAATATTAGTGAATGATAGGTTTAGCAAACTTGGTGATGACTGTGATTTTTTGTGTTTTATAGTTTTTGTTACTTAATTCATTTTTAAATTTGTTAAGGAACTTGACTCGAAACATAGATAGAACTCAGTACACTGTTTTATAGCCCAAGCAATTGCCTCATTTCTATTAATAAACCCTAAGCCGTAACAAAGGGCTCCAATGTGGCCTTGGCAATGCACACCAAAAGTACAAACAGGGACACCATCCATGCGCAACATGGCACTGTTAATACTTTGATATTTTTCAGCTGTTGATGGAATCAGCCTCTCTGAGAGTTACCACAGAGTTCGGGAAACCTGACTACCAGCCGGCCTCAGAACCATAAAACTGAGTTTTACAGCTGTACCCTCATTTGGAGATAATAGAATGAGTTGCCTAGTCATAAAAATAGAGACAAGCAAAACCCATGCATTGAGTCAAGAAGATCCAGCGTTCAACATCCTAAACTGGAAACAATGTATTAATAATACATCTGCGGCAGCCTAATAGAAGAAGGGGTGCGAGGCTGGTCAACAGATAGAATCTGTTTATTCCTTAAGTCTTTACCTAGGAGGCCTTCTACAAGACAGCAGCCGGATGCATGTAACATCTGCCCAAGAAATATTAAGACTAAAATATCAAAACTTATGAAACATAAAATAAAGATCAAATTTGTGGACAAGTTACTTGATGAAAAATTTTGGTTGAGTGAAAGAAAAGAATATAAAAAAGGCTTTTCTTAAATCTTCTATAACTTACATACTTCTTTACTCTTTTCTTTCAGGTAATTTTTAAAACATAGCTTATGAAGAAGCGTTTTTTTTTTTTTTTAAATCAAAGTGTTTAAGCTTACATATTTTTTAAATCAAAGTGTTTAAGCTTACATATTTTTTAAATCAAAGTGTTTAAGCTTACATGTTTTTTAAATCAAAGTGTTTAAGCTTACATATTTTTTAAAGCTCTTAAGGTTTTTCATTCTAAAACAACAACAAATAATTATTAAGTACAAAACAACAACAAATAACCATTAAGTACAAAACAACAACAAATAACCATTAAGTACAAAACAAGAACAAATAACCATTAAGTACAAAACAACAACAAATAACCATTAAGTACAAAACAACAACAAATAACCATTAAGTACAAAACCTATTTATATATTTGTTATACTTTTTTTTAAAGATAATTCCCAAATTGAGTTTTAATATTATTAAGTCATTTTTGCAAAAATAGTGAAATTTTCAATATAGTGCATAAATTAATTTTTGAATTTTTAAAAGAGTACATAATTTAATTTTGTTTTAAATATTTTTTTGTGATCTTGCTTCTGATATTTGATCCAATTTATCAAATTTATTCTTGACTATGTCTAAAGCGTTGTTTGTTTTCATTGGCATATGTAAACAATAATGACAAAAATCAGAGAAAATTTAATCGAAAATTCAGAAAGCTCTCAATGGTATTACTTAGAAAAAAAAGTTAGTTGGACCTGGGTATAAATGGTCTATATATTATAATATTTATACCCAACCTGTTTGATTAATTTTTCAAGCATCAAATTTTGTTACATATTGATACATACCATACATATCGTTTTTAGTTAATATCACATTTTATTAATTGTGTTTAAAGACCTAGATCTCAATGAAAACACTATTGAAGTTGGAGTTGATAGTGATGAAGAACCTGATCGTATATTTGATGTTCGTGACAATGAAATTTCAGTTAACAAGTATATAAGCAAAGAAGAAAGAATAAAATCTGAAATTAAAAGAAAAAAAGATGAAGGTTAATCTTTTATTACATTTTTTAAAAATGTTTTTTATTCAACTTAATTTTATAAAAATTTACAGTATGAAAAAATTTCCATCAATCCTTGCCAAACACTAAATTTATTATAGCAATTAATATTTTTAACAAAGTTGTATAATAAAGCATATCATCTTTTATAAATATTGTTTTTACAACAAAGCAACAATAATTGCTGATCATGTGTAATAGAAAAACAATTTTAGATCTTAAGTGTTAAACAAACAGCTACTGATCATTTTGTGTTGATTTATAAAAAAACTTTCATAAATTAAGATTATAATTTTTTCGGGTGAAAATGTTTTGGGTATAATAAAGATTTATATATAGAAACTGAATTTTTTATATAACTTGTAATTATATTCGTTATAAATTATTACCATCATTATTTAAAGATTGCAATTTTTTAGATTTTTAAATGCTCGTTAAAAAATCAAGCACTTTTTACACTGAATTAAACATGTATAATTGATATAAAAGTTTGTATAAAGTTCATTAATTGTTACAGAGGAGATTTTATCTTACATTTAAGGCTAACTATCATAGAATATTTTTTTGAAAGAAAAAAAAGAAATATAATTATAGAATTTTTTTTTTAAAAAAAAGACAAAAGATATAATTATAGAAAAAAAACTATAATTATAGAATATTTTTTTTAAAGAAAAAAAAGAAACTTCGTAAAATAGTTTTTATGAAGTTTAATGTTGAGAGAGTTGTAAATAAAAATTTTTTTTGAATAGGAAAACATATTTTTACAAAAAATGAATCACACTCTAAAAAATGAAAAAATGTGTTATAGATTTAAACAGCAATTATATGAAGCTGCTGTAAGAGTTTCTTTTAAAATTTAGTTTATTTTAGTGTTATTTAAGCAGTTTTTGTTGCAAGAGCTAATCAATATTCACCAGTTTAATGTTATATATTTAGAGTAAAACTTTTTTTGAATAACCATATCAAAATACCACTCAAAATAATAAAGATTTAACATTAAAACTAATACAAGTACTACAGCAATTAGCTGAAATATCACAAATAAAAACTGATAAAGTGTATCTTTATTTCAACTGCAAAAAAACTGGAATTAAAGTTGATTTTATTGTTAATAACCATTTCCAGTTTAAAATGCTGCAGCTAATTCCCAGGTTTATGAATTTTTTTTTTTATGTAATGTTTTTTAATCTAAAAAATAAATATTAGTGCTGTGTTTTTTTGATGCTTTAAATCTCAAACAGTTGTAAGGTCAAATCTTTAACTATGCATTTAGTAATCAAGACAAAGCACAATAAACTAATGGTTAGTTAATGGAAAACCACCTCTAATATAAAATAATGTACAGCTATGCACAAAAGTTTAATCGAGATTTTTATAATTATGTGGCAGTTTTTTTAACATTAAAGGTTAACGGATATAGATTTTAAGTTTATTTTTTTTGCGTTCTGCAAAAAAAAATTCACCTATACTATTGGGTTGTAACATAAGTTCGTAGAGTTTTGCGTTAGAGGTATTTTACAATGATTTGTTTTGTTTTTTAGCAAAGTGTATACATTCATTCGAAAGAGCTCTTTCTTGTCTACAAAACAGTTTTATTTGTTTTTTTGGATAATTTAATTGTTCGTCTTTTTTCTGGCTCAAAAATGAGCCAGAAAAAAGACGAACAATTAAATTATCCAAAAATAACCAGGAGGAAAAAATCAGCATTTTCGACATCTGCTTTTCATTGCTTTTCATTGAGGTCAAAAAGCAGCCAAAGCCACTCGGGACATATGCAGTGTGTATGGGGAAGGTGTCTTACATGTGTCTACTGCACAAAAATGGTTCGCAAAGTTTAAAAATGGCGACTTTGACCTTGAAGGCGCGCCTTGAAGCGGATGACCTGCAGAATTTGACGAAGAGCATCTGAAGGCACTATTGAAGGAAGATGGTCGCCAAACAACTCGTGAATTGGTTGAAAATTTGAACATTAGTGCAATGACGATCTCTCGCCACCTTCAATCAATTAGTTTTACTCAAAAACTCGAAGCATGGGTACCTCACAAGCTCAACAAAGAAAACAAAGAAAAACGCTTTCAAATTGCTGCTCAACATGCCGTCCACCGAGCAACACATGGACACAAACAGCGCTTTTTGTATTGAATCATCACGGGAGATGAGAAATGGTGTCTGTACGTCAATGTGAAGCAAAGAAAGGAGTGGGTGGCCCCAGGAGAGACGCTGAAGCCGAAAGTCAAGCAAGATCTTCACCCAAAAAAGGCCATGATTTGCGTTTGGTGTGACTGGGAAGGCATGGTGCACTGGGAAATGCTCGAACAAAACTTCTTCGACATCAGACCGACCAATTTTTGGGGAAACGGCATCAACAAATTGGTCGAGAGATAGGAGGAGGTCGTAAACAGTAACAGAGAATATATCATTGATTAATTTATTATTATAATTATTGTTTTTTCTTCAAATAAATCTTTATGAAAAAACTATACGAACTTATGTTATAACCCAATATGTTACTTCTGTAAAACCAATTAATTGTTATACAATGTATTCTACTTATGACATAAAAGTTTGAGTTAATTAATTTGCATTTTTCATGCTCAATAACTAATTATTGTACTTAATTACTGCTATAAATTGTAAATATAAAGGGTACTCATGATTCTTAAATAAAAAATTAATTTTAAAATTACAAAAAAATATTTTAATTTCAAAAAATTATCTAAAGAATAACTGGTCAAATCAAAAAACCATAATTGGACTGGTCAAATCAAAGAATCTTAACAACATTGAAATTAGTAAACTTATAGGTGTTTCTGAATTTTGCATGCGCAAATACAGTTAAAACCTGGGAGCTATCAGGTAACGTCGCTGACATGCCTTGTTTTGGAAGACCACTAAAGCTAAGTAACCATGACAAAATTAGTATATTCAGAACCAGTAGAAAAAATCCTAGGCTTAGCAACAAAAAGCTAGCTCAAATATTCAACCAATCCTTTTCTAATCAAAATGTAACCAAAGAACTGGTTAGAAGAACATTAAAAAAAAAAAAGTATTGTGTCTCACATTGCTATAAAAAAACCTATCCTTTTAATCATGGACCAACGCAAAAGACAAAAATGGTGCAAAAAACATTTGTATTGGGCAGTTGAAGATTGGGCAAAAGTGATTTGGAGTGATGAGTCAAATTTTCAAGTTGTGAACCGCAAAGGAAGAATATAAGTTAAAAGGTTTGCAACTAAGAAATATTGCAAGCGCTATTTACAAACAAGATGGCAAGGTGGTCGAGGCTCATTAGGCATATGGGGATGTTTTTCCCACAAAGGCCTTGTTTTTTGTAAGCTCTATATGACCGTATCAACCAATACTAGTACTGGTTAAAAGTGCCACATGAGATGTGCATGAAATTGGTCAAGGCAATGCAGAAAAGAGTTCTTTTTTGCTATCGAGACACTTTAAATATTAAATTTGTATTTTTTTAATTTTTTGTGTTCTAAACCTTAACTCGATTAAACTTTTATGCAACTAATTTTATGATTATTTAATTATTTACTTAATTTTTTTGAATTATTTTAGCTATGTTTAAATAAAATATGAATGTTACCATATAGTTTTATTTACATAAAACATACAATAAACTTTAGGTAAACAAAAAGGTAATCAAGAGCAGTATTTAAAATATATTTATAATTTAAAAAATTTTTAAATTAATTTTTAATTAAAAAAATTTTAAATATATTTATAATTGAAAAATGTATGCAGAAAAATGTTTAGATAAGATTTTTCTATTAACAAAAAATAATTAAACTTTTGGTAAATAAATTTTTCAAAATACTTTAATTAAAAAATTTTTGTATTATTATAAAATAAACATTTATTTTTTTATATTAAAAAAATTTCAAATATATCATTTTATATAGAAACAAACAATTTTTTTCTTCACATATATTCTTTTTTTTTCACATATTTTTTATTCATCCTTTTTTTCCATGCATACATTTTTTTTTTTTATTTCTTTGATTTGTCAAAAAAATTTTAGAAAAAAATTCAACAAACATTGATAATAACCGTGGACATGCTCTTGATGTAATGATGGGTGGAAAGTTAGAAGCAAGCTATGAAATGGAGCTTAACTACGATATTCAAAAACCAAGCTTCATGGAAAAGCCAGAAATTGAATGGTCTGATGAAGAATGCAAACTTGCAAAGGAATATGAAAAGAAAAAGCAAACAGTTATTTGTTTTTATATTTAAAGTTTAATTTACTTTTTGTTCTTTAAAAAAAATATTTTCAAAGTTATTATGTATTCTTAGGAGTAGCAGGGCAAGTTTCAATCATTTGTTATAATTTTTTTTTTTTGATAAATACTTAAAAAAAACATAATTCCAAGATTTTTTAAATTTACATTTAATGAAATTTTATAATAATATTTTTGTCAAGTGTTTTGAAAAAATTCTTGCTTAATTGCTTTTAATATTGCAACAATTTTGTCACCATTAAGTTTTATTATACATTATCCTTTTTTTTTTTTTTTACAATATACAAGGTACAGTATAAACGCAGCAACCATTTTCGTAGTAGATTTGCAATGGAACTATAAAGGCATTTTGGGAGGTTTATTGGAGTTTTGCTCATCGGTTACTTAGTGGACCATTAGTTGCATCTGCTATAATTGGGTAGTCATCAACTTACAAACATTTGATATGGTGACTAATCATTGGCTAGCCACTTATAGCAGCTGCTAATGATAGTCTACTAAGTAACCAATGAGCAAAATTACAGTGAACTACTCAAAATCCCTATATAGATCCACTGAAATTCCACTACATAATGTTTGCTGGTAATGCATTTACAAAGAGAAATACATTTATAATGATTTACACAAACGTTGGTTAGCCATCACTGTTGTGAGGTACTGCACTTTTATTGATCATTATATTGGAGAGTGTTGAAGAGTTAATCCCTGATCACTGTTATAATGCATTATTATTATTACTTATTATTTACTCAAATAAATTATTATTATTGTTCAATTGAGATTAAGTCTTTTATGTGAAAGAAGATTGCAAGCAATTTTTTTGATTGTAAAAGGCTTGTTCAAAAATCAGTTTTTACACTGGATTAAATTTGTTAACAACTTTTAATTTTTTTTGTTCAATAGATTATTTCCATCTAATCAACTTTTTTAAACATTTGTATTAGTTGTTAGTTTTATCATAAAATACAAAAACATCTTTTTCAGTCTCATTTGTCAAAAAGTCTTTTTAAAATAAAGTTTCTATGGTTTCTATTTAGATTAGTTTAGATTTAATATTGTTGTACAAATTGTTCTTTCTCAAATCTATATATTTTTTTCTATAAAAGATTTTGTAAAACATATTAAACAAGGTGGAAATAATCAGCTTTATGTGAAGTAGTAATGTTTTTTTACTATTATTGTTAGATTTTATGAAAACAAGAACGTATGAATGATTTTAGAGATATTTGAATTCATTTTTCAACTTCAGTTAAAAATTGAATGACAGGCATTGGTTCATATTTTTTTTCATAGATTGCAGTAAAATGGTGTGTGGTATGGTAAGAAGGCAGTTTCTTTGTCAGTAATGTTTTTACTCAGCATGGAGTTGAAAAGTGAGAAAACGTTTTAAAAAGTGAGGTAATTTGTTGTGTGCATAGTTGGGTAATACGGTATATGGTATACACAGATAGGACATCCATCAAAAAGACAATATCTGTATTGTCATAGCGGTGTATATTTGAAGAAGTTGTGGTTCATCAGTAACAGAAAATAAAAAACCAATATGTGATTGTCTGCAAGCACTATTATCATTTATCAAAAATTAAATTTTTTGAAAGCTAAAGCACGAAAAATATATTAAAAATATTTATTGTCAGTAAGTTACAATAGTAGTCTAATATAGCCATTGTATCACATATCCTATCAGAGGGTGGACAGTGTTTACTAGGGTTACCAGTGTTAAGTAGGACGCATTGGGTTATGGGTAGGGTTGAAAATTTCTTTAAATTTTTATAGCAATTAACTTCATAGTTATTATATAATTATATAAAATTAATTTCTTTGTTTCAAAAATATGTGTTTTATCATCGTAGTATTTAGGTATTCTTTAAATATTTCAATAAAAAATATAAAATAATAAAGAGCCACAAGCAAAAAAATGCACATCTTTTAGTCAAATTTTTATAGTTAATTTAATTATTGCTCATTTTTTTAAAAAAGCAATAAAACGCTTAAGTTGTTATATGTTACATCACTTTTGTAAAGCAACAAAAGTAGATTTTTTTTGTGTTAGCTTGCCTTTTGAACTTGTGTATAACATATTTTTAGCTTTTACTTCTCTCAACTATGATGTAAAATATTCACAAAAAATACAAAGAATAAAGTCTATTTTAGATTAATAAGTTTTATTGTTTCTTTTATTATCTTTGATAAAGATTGCATACAAAGACGATTTCAGGGGGAGGGTGTGTGGGGGAAGGGGATGTTTTACCCCCTCAAAGAAGGCAATTTTTAACTTTTAGTAAGTTTTTTGATGAATTTAGTCAGCTTGTCTGGTATTTGACAAAATTCATTCTGGTGAATTTTAGTTTTTAAGGACCTTTTTTTTTATTATTTATAAGACCGTAAGGACATCTTGGTGTCCCAAGATGATCTTATTACAGAACACTGTGGAAGAGCATTTGAAAGGAAGTTTATGCCTCCTTCCTTACTGATGTTGTAAAATTTGTCCAGAGGTGTTGTGGAACAACAGATCTTAAGCTTCTGAGGCAAGCGTGCTAACCACTGCAGTACGACTTAAACGCACTTATTCAAACATAGCGTTGGAGTTTATGACCTTAAAATCATTAGTTCTTTATTTTTACTGCTAACTTTATTTTTAAATAGTTCAAATTAAGAAAAAAAGCTTTCCTTACTTTTTGCCTTTTATTTCAATAATGTCTTTAAATCAAGAAAAAATGGTAAAATACTACAAATATTTATACAAAATCAAATTTATATATAATTTTACAATTTTCACTAATTTGTAGGTCAATTTAATAGATATTGACAAATGTGGCAATGAACAATCAATATGCTTAGCAAATAACAGGATAAAATAGTTTTACAAAATTTTGAATACAAATTATTGTAGTTGCTACTTATAGTTATAATAAACAAACTCATCAAAATACCAATAAAGTATTTTTCAAAGGGGGTTTTCTAAAATTTTTATGATCTGCTTCACAATATTTTACCATAAAATTGTCCATAACAAACGCCCAAACATACCATAAAATTGTCCATAAAAAAATCTCCCGAGACAAAAATTTCTGGGAAATTTTCAACCCTAAAGTTTACAAATTAAAAATGAAAAAGATTTTTTTACTTTATAACTTATATTTAGTTGCAAGAGGAACGTGATAAATACAAGAAAATATTAGAAGCAGAGTTTAAAAAACTTCAAACTTTAAACCAAGAGACAATCAGCAATTTCGATGAAAAACTTCAACAATTATTTCAATACAAAATTAAAGCAGACATGGCTGTTGCTCAAGTAAGTTTTCTAGGTCAATTTGAATGTATTTGAGGAACAAAATTAAGCGATGGGAGGGGAAAAAGTGGTGTTACCTCTATTTTCCTCACACAAAATACACACAAAATCTGTAACAACAAAAGCTCTAACAGAAAAATAACAATAGATAGATAAAGATAAACTACTTTACTTTGACTGAAGTTACCTTGTGATTTTTTTTTTTTTTTTTCGAATTGCTACAGTTTTTGAATTTTTATAAAATGTGTTTGAGCAAATACTTTATTTTTCATACTTTATTTACATACATAATGGCTGGTGTATAAGTTATCAGACAAATTTTAATTTTTCTTGCTAATTAAACAATCATGTTGAATGACACATCTGCATAAAAAATTATAGTGCTAATTTTTTTTAAAAAATAAACATTTAATAGTTTACAAAATTCTTAAATGTTTATTTTTAAACATTTAATAATTTTGTAAGTTATTAAATGGACTAAGTTAAAACATTTGGTGGCAATGATATTAAATATTGTTTAAATAATTATAAACTTAACTACAAATAAGTTTTACTTTTTAGGAAGAGTTAAAAATGATGCGCTTAGCTGCATCGATTTCAATCAGTGATGAAATGGAAGCTAAAGAACATAATTTGTTAAATGAACTTATTCAGTTAAAAGAAGAAAAACAGCTTAGTTCTAGCTTTATTTCAAAAGTTCAAACTGAATTGGATACTTTAAGAATGTCATATGAAAGTTTAGTTTCAGAAGACAAATATTTAGATAAAACATTTCGGAAAGAGTTTCCAGAACTTGATCAATTCACTGTTGATTTTTTGTACAAACTTTTTAAAAAAAGACCACAGTAAGTATTGTACAATTTCATATAACTTTTATGTGTTTTTAGTTAAAAAGTAGTTAGTAATTAAAGGTTTAAATTATTATTAAACTAAATATGAATCATTTTATGCTTCATATAAACAGTTATCATACGCACATGAATTTGAATTTGAATTTGTTTATTCATAAATCAAAATTTAACAAGCAAAACCATTATATAAAAATAAAGTTTTAGCTGTAAACTTTGATGAAGTGGTGCAGCACCAGGCACCACTATGATGATGTAGTTTGAGACACACAATGTGTCCTGGTTAGCTTTAAAAGCACGTCAAATCAACTTGTAAAAAAGTTAATTGAGTTTGCATTGACTACGTTCGCTGGTAGCCCATTCCAGTTGTTAACAACCCGATTATTTTGCTGTGTTAGTTATTAATTATGTCCATGCAGATTATACTCCAATAATGATTGTGCATTTACTTGCAGAACTACAAATTCAACTTTTTTTATTCCATTTGTAATTTTATGTTGGTGAATCAGGCCAGCCCTTTTTCGTCTTCTAGAGATTGGTAAGATTGAGTATGACTAGTCTATCCTCATAATTTTTATGCTTTATCTTGCTTATAGTTTAGGTTGCTCTCTGTTGAATGAAATGCATTCAAGTATTTTTATGTCACTTTTAGGTGAGGAGACTAGGCTTGGATAGTATACTCAAGATGAGGCCTAATGTATGTTGTGTGGAGTACCCTCCATAACATTATCCCTCTAGTGCAAAATGGTTTTTTTAGTCAGCCAAGTACTTGATTTGATCTAGCTGCTGCAGCTTCTAATTAATGCTTAACGTTTAGGTTGTTTGATGTTAGGATATCTAAGTCACATTCAATAATTGTTGTTCCAAGTTCTTTTTAATAGATGTCTCTGTCAAGCATTGAGTAAAGGCACAGTGACTTATTTGAGTGATCAGCATGAATGACTTCCACTTCTTGGATCAATCGACTGCATGTCTAGTTGTAGTTTTATTGCATCATCTTCTGTTTTGATGACCTCTAAAATCTAACAGTCATCGGGGTAGATCTTTATATGATGCACCATGTTATCTGGAAGGTCATTTACATATATCAGAAATAGAAGCGGCCCAACACTGAACCTTTGTGGAACTCTGCTAGTAACCTTTACCCATTCAGACCTGCTATTTCTGATAACCACCCTCGGTTTTTGTTTTTTTAACTGGTCTGTTATCCAATTCAGGAGTGCACCATGTATGCCATAGGCTTTAAGTTTTAGAAGACGATGCTGGTGAGGTACTTTGTTGAAAGTTTTAACATAGTCTGTGTAAATTATGTCTATGTTATAGTTTTGAAATAGTGCTTCTTTTAAGATGTCATGTATCTCTTGTAAATTACTTGTACAGTCGCGTCTCGGAAGAAATCCATGTTGAGATTTAGTGAAGAGCCTATTTTCAAGGCAATGTTTAATGATTCACTTATGTATTAAACTTTTCATTATTATACAGGGTACCGATGTGAGAGAAACTGGTCTGTATTTTTGCATTTTCTTTGGCTTCCATTTTTAAATATAGGAGTGACGTTTGATAGCTTCCACAGGTTAGGGACATTGCTTTCAGGCAGCGTTTTTTTCAAATTATAGCTAGTGGCCTGGTTAACGCAGTGTCACAGTGTCGAAGAACATGTAGATGTATGTTATCATAGCCTTTTGACTTTGTCTCAATAAGCTCTTTTAGCTTTGTTTGCACAGATTTAGTGGTTATTTCTGCTTCACTCAGGACACATTCCATTTCTGTTTGATTCTCAAAGGTTGGCATCTAATGTAAGGGTTCAACAACAAATGCAGACTGGAAATGTAGGTTAAGTAAATGAGAAATTTTATGACTGTCTGTTGTAAAATTGTCATTTTTGTTTTCCAGTGATTTCACCGCTTCATTCGCTATTAGCTTCTGTTTGACTTGGTTATGAAGACATTTTGGATTGATTTTGAAACAGTTTGCAATTTCATTTTTGTACTTAACAACTGCTGATCTTACAATCTTAGCTCCATGCAGGCTGCCTTATACTTTTCTCGAATCTCTATGTGAGTCCATCAACCAGTTGCAATATGTTTTCGCCAAAGGTTTCTTTTCTTTTTCACTGCTTTTTTAACTTCTGATGTATTCCATGGTTGTTTTTGTTGCTTGAACAGTGTTTTAGTGGAAGATATGTGTAGGGTGACCGCCTCTTTAATTTTGTCAACAAACATCTGATAATTGTTGTTTACTAAACCAGAGTTCAAAATTGTCACCCAGTCATTGGATGTGATTAGTGTTGAGATTGCTTCATAGTTTGCCCTACTCCAGATAAATCTTTTCTGTTCTTCTTTAACAGAAGTGCTGTTTGTAGCAAATTAGCCAATGAGAAAGCAGTGATTTTCTCCTGCTGGTGTGTAACCAAGCAAGTTACCTTCATATAGATCATCTATGCAGTCAGGTTCATTGGTGATTAACAAATCTAGTGTGCTTGATGGTCTTCCTTCTCTATTTCTGCAGTGAGTGGGGAAAATGACCATTTGCATGAAAAAGTTTTTGCTTAAAGATTGCTGGAGGTTAATATCAGTTGGATGTTTGTTTTGTATTTTTGCAACTGTTGCTGCGCCTCAATCAGTCTTAAATATTTTGCATGTTGTATGGCTGAAATTGAAATTGCTGTAGATTAAAACAGATAAGTAGCTTAGTGTTGAAAAAGTTCATCATATTTTAAACAAGTTAGTTCAAGTCATAGTTTAAGTGTAAACACACATACACACTTTAATTAAAGAAATAAAAACAAATTTTTAAATATATTTTTTAATTCTCATAAGTTCCACACCATTGTAAATAAAAAATTATGAAATTTCACACTTAGAGTGCAAAGAACTTTAAAAGCAGTAATTGATAATCAAATATCCTTGGCAGAGGAAAACAGATTTGAATTAAGAGTACCCTCTTCACTTGCAGTAAATGCAGTTGGTCATTCAGTAGAAGATACATTAAACGGACTAGACTCATTAGAAAATAAACCAGAGAAAATTTTAGTTGAGACCTGGTCAAAGCTAGTAACATTACGAAGAGGAAAGTTTGAGAAAGAACAACAAGTAAGTTTTATTTTTGCTAAATAATTATTAAAACATTGTTTTTATAAAACTTTTGGTTCTGTCCATTTTTTAATTTTTTTTTCTAAAAAATTTTCTTTTCTAAAATCATTTTTAATAAAATGTTTTATTGATTAATTTTTTTTATTTAAACTTTTATAGTTGAAGTCAAAAGCTTTAGTGTTAGCGCAGATAAATACTTTTCTGCAGAAAAAAAAAGAGTATGATAGTGAACTAAAGTCTAGAATAGAAAAAACATCTGAGAATATTCAAAAGTAAGTTAACCTTTTAGTTTTTTATTGAATATGAAAAACAGCTAGTGAAGATTGTTATCCTTGTTAGCTTATACTATAGCTATTTTTCTATGCTTTTAAGAAAATTTTAAGCTTATGAAAATCATAAGTTTGAAGCTAAAAAACAAAAGTCTAAATGTCTAATTTCAATACCTAAATGGTCCACGACATTTAATTCAAAAAAGTTAAAAAGTTTTCTTTTTTTATATATTTTCAATTTAATTATAACATTCAAAAACTTAGTTTACTTTTCGGTTTAAGGGAGTTTCCTAAATCTCAAGTAAGCTATGCATCAGCTAACTTTTTAAAAAATACATTTAAATCAATTGTTATGCTATTAAAGATTGCTAACTTTATTATATCTTTTTGAAAAATTTAATCATCTTTTGTAGAATTCGAGATGAAAGACTACAGTTCAATTTAAACATTGAAGTACAGTTGTTACTGAAGCAGGGTCAAGTAGAAGTTGGTATTTGTGATTTGGTTCCTGATTATACAGAATGCATATTAGTTCATCGCTCTGTTGTTGAGAATTTGAATTCCACAATAAAGGTTTTATATACCTGTATCTCTCTCTCTCTCTCTCTCTCTCTCTCTATCTCTATATATATATATATATATATATATATATATATATATATATATATATATATATATATATATATATATATATATATATATATATATATATATGTATATATATATATATTATATATATATATATATATATATATATATATATACATATATATATATATATATATATATATATATATATATATACATATATATATATATATATATATATATATATATATATATATATATATATATATATATATATATATATATATATATATATATATATATATATATATATATATATATATAGAGAGAGAGAGAGAGAGAGAGAGAGAGAGAGAGAATAATAAAATAACAAATGCGTTTGTTCAATGTTCACCTTTCATTAAAAAATAAGTAATTTTGGTGGAAAATATATTTTTCATTTGGTATTTTATTAATAAATAAGTAGAATAACACAATACATTATACATTCTTATACACGAATTACAGTTGCTTAATGCAAAAAAGTAATGATCTTTAGTTACATAAATGTATTTTAAAAATTTGTTGTAAATGCATTGTGTTTTAAGGCGCTCGGTCAAACCAAGTTAGCAAGCATGCGTGAAAGTAAGGATTTTAGAAAAGGTATTCACCTGTTGGAATGGCAGCTAAAAGAAATGCTTATGCAGGCAGAAGACCTTCAAACTGTGGCTCATGACTTGCAATTACTTAAAGTTACAAAAGAACTGCAATTATATTTAAGTGACACAGATCAAAAGCTAAGCAAGCAGCAAGAAATAGATACTCTTGAAAATACTTTGGAAATGTACAAAAAGGTTTTATATGAATTTTATTTTAAAGTGCACAAGTTATCATTGTACTATAAAATTTTCTTTTTTATAAAAATTAATATAAGATGCACAAGAAACTCTTAACATATTCTATCCTCAATAGACATAATTAGTTTTTTTTAATTTTAAGATTTGACAATTTATCTTTTTTTTTTAATATAAAGATTCATCAGCGAAGCATTAAAGATAAAAAGCGTGTTGTAAAAGCTCTTCGCCAAGAAATAAAAGAAAAAGTTGATGCAAACGATTGTTTAAAAATTGATCTCCAAGAAATAGCGGTCTCGGTAGAAGAAAGAAGAAATGTTAACAAAGGAGATGGTAACTTGGATATATTATCTTATTTTCGTTGTTGCTTATTTTTAGAATTCTTTAAGAAAATTTTTTTTTTTAAAAGACGCAACAGTTGATAAGGAAGAAAAGGAGAAAAAAATGATTGAAATAATAACAAGAAGAAAATTGGTGGATTTAACACGAGCTCAGTCTCTTGAAATTAACCTATTGCGTTCTGAAGCTGTAAATTTACGAAAGAGTAATTTTCCAATTTTGTTGAATGATTAAGTATATTTTTATTAAGTAATTCTATAATAAGTAATAATAAAAAAAAGCTTATCACTATGTTGAGGTAATGCATAAATATTTTTAGAACATATTTTGAAGTTAGTTTCTATAATGAACACATTTTAAATTTAATTTCTGTAAAAAAAAAAAATTATTCGTATAAATCAGTGCTAATCCGGCGCCTTAGTATTACACTACGTCTATATTTTTAGTAACTTTGTTTTTTTATTTGTAATTAATACTCTGCTATTTAAGCGTCGCGTTTAGAAACCACATTGGGGTTTATCTAAAATTTTGATAATATTTAAATATTTAACCTGTTGTAGACTATTTTTTCAAAAGTTTTTTAGAATACAGAATAAGTTGAATTAGCCTGAAGTTGTTTCTTTTGTTGTTTTAGAATAGGTTATTCTTGATTTATATATTAGTACGATTTTAGAAATTTTTAATTTATCTGGTACAGTTCATTTTATAAGTGATACTTATCTAGTACAGTTGTTGCCATAATTGAATACTTTGACGACAAGGATTCGTATTTCTCTGAAAATATGTTACACTACTTTACAAGAGATATCACCAGTACCTTATAACTTTTTTTGTTTTGTTTTTTGTTTTGTTTCGTTTTTCGGAGTAATCCTATAGATTTTTTGACTTCTTGATTTAATTGCAGTTTACACAACAGTTTACTAATTTACTTTCAAATAAATTTTCTGTACTTTTATGCAAGATCAGTTGACCAATGCTTACACATTAGTGTTGCTAAATTCTTGTATTTAATTTCTTTTCATCCATCAATATTTTAAAAGGTATTTTGCTTGAGTTCACATTACTTTTACTTTTTACATTACATTTACTTTACTTTTACTAATTTATTTTTTTGACAAAGTTTTTTTAAATCTAAATTAGATTTTCGTATTTAAAATGATTAATTAAATTACACAAAATTTATACTTTGTGTAAAAAACGGTTTTGCCCTCATTGTGAGGCACAACCGCACCCTCACAAAAATCGTTGGGGGTACACTGTTCTAGGTACGTTTTCTTTACAATTGTCGTAGCTCAGATTATTTGTTGATTTTGTTGCACGTTTGCATACTGCGTAGGCATTCCTTGTACTTACATTCTCAGTTTTCTCATTCGATATAGTCGACTATATCGAATGATATAACGATATAGTCGACTATAGACTATATCGAATGATATAACGATATAGACTATATCGAATGATATAACGACTATAGACTATATCGAATGATATAACGATATAGTCGGCTATATCGAATTTTATAAATGAGTTTTTGAATAAAAATAAAGCTAAGACTAGTCTTAGCTTTATTTTTATTCAAAAACTCATTTATAAAAGTTAATTAAAAAAATACGAAATCTAATTTCTAACATCTCAAAAAAAAACTTTTCTAATATCTTTTCTAACAAAAAACAAAACTTTTCATTAAAAAAAAAAAACTTTTCTAACAAAGCTTTTCTAACAAAACTTTTCTAACAAATAACTTTTCAAACATCTTTTTCTCAAAACAAAACTTTTCTAACATCTTTAACAACTTTTCTATCATCTCAATGCAAAACTATTCAAGTTTCTACATGAACGCATTCAAATGTGACGATTGTAATTGTTGTTATTTGTAATTACTTAACTTTGATAAATATTAAAAGTATGCGGTTGTGCCTCCTGTGCATCTATGCGGTTCCACCCCAGAAGACAGTTTTTTGAAAGAATACAGTTTCATAGCTTGCTTATTAGATTATGTTGATATCAAAAACGGTTTTCAATTGATGAAATAATGCTGATAACACATATTTTTAACACTAAAATCAAATATTGCTTTATCCTCAAAAAAAAGGTCTTTAAAAGTATGATGTAAATATAATAATTTTTATCAAAATATGCATTATTATGTACAACTTCTCAGAAACATAAAAGGCACTCTTTTGACATAAGCAAAATGAAGGAAACTGTTTTACTAATGCGTAGTACTTTTTTTGCCATATTAGATAATATTTTTCTAATACTCTGCTAAATATATAGGGGAAGTGGTTATGCCCCCACTTCCCTTATATATTTAGCAGAGTATATGTATATATATATATATATATATATATATATATATATATATATATATATATTTAAATATTTTGCCGTTTAATATTACAATAACTAAATATATTTAACAACTTTTACATGAGTAACGACAGGACTTCTAGAAGATCATGAGGATCTTGTCATGAAGCCCTTTACAATATATAGTTAATTTTAAATAAAAATGCAATGTCTGTAGTGAAATAATAATATACATCTTTGGGATCGTCCATAAATTACGTCACGCATTTTTTGACATATTTTGACCTCCCCCTCCCCCTCGTCACAAAATCGTAACACTTAAGAAGCAAGTTTTGTATGAGTTGTCAATAAACTACCAACCCACCTCCCCCTTATAGCGTGACGTAATTTATGGACGACCCCTTTATGCAAAAATATTTAAAAACCAAGATAAAATACTAAAAAGCCAAAATAAAATTTTAAACAAAATAATATACAAAATAAAACAATAACAACAAAAAAAGCAATTAAAAATAAATCAAGATATTTTCAATTAAAAATAAAATTTTTTTAAGTTTCTGTTTGAATGAAGCAAAAGTCAGTTGGGTAGAAAAATCAAATTTGATAAGACTATTTTGTTCCAGAGATACGGACCTCGATAAGAAACAAAAAACTGGTCTTTGCTTTTAACACAAAATAGGGCAATAAGATAAAAAAATATTCATTTTTTTAAAAAGTTGTTTCGTATGAAAAAACCGACTTTTAACATTTATTGCGCGAGTTGCGTGTTTCTGATGAAGGTAAAGAGATTTAAGCTTTGTTCTGTGAGTGCTTCCCCATACATTATTTGCGTAGGTAATATGACAATTTATAAATGAATAATATAATTGTGTTAACTGGTGTTTATTTAATATATTTCTTGCTTTATAGAGAATTTTATTGGAGGTATTATCAATATGATTTCTCCAAGATAGATTTTCATCAAGATATACTCCATGAAATTTAGTAACTTTTTCTCTTTTTATTATTATATTATCAATTAAAAGGTCTGGCATGATGTGGGGCAGTTTCTGGTTTTTTAAAGGTAGATAAAAAAGTGTCCATTTAGTTTTTTCTATATTTAGAGACAATCTATTTTGTTTAAACCAAACAGAAACTTTTTTTAATTCATTTGCAGGGACGGATTTAGGTATGTGGTGGCCCCTGGGCGGAATATACTGTGGGGGCCCCTTATAAACAAATAAGGAAATATATTTTTTTACTTATTGAATAATATCTATTATTATGTTTAGTAGTAGTAACACTAGTAAAAATTAAATACTATTTAATAATAAATAATTATAAAAACAATCAAATCGAGTATAACTAGTATATTAAGTAATATTATCATAATATTCAGTGTAAGTAATTAAATGAAAAATAATAAATAAAAATAAAAAAAATAATAATGTCAAGTAATTAAAATTAAATGCCGGGAACTTTTCTTAATTTTATTTGTACAAACTTATCAATAACGTTTTGAAAATCAAGTTTTCTTAAAATATCAGACTCAGAGCTCATTATCGCTAGTTGATTGAGCCTGTCTCCGTCCATAGAAGCACGCACTCTAATTTTTATGTGCTTTAAATTAGAGAATGATCTTTCACTACTGCTGTTTGTAATCATAATAACAAGATAAATACGAAGAACTATTTCAACATTAGGAAAACAATCTTTTACTTCCTTATTAATTAATATTTTATACTTTAATATGGCAAAAAAAAAAATACTGCGCATTAATATTAAATGTTCTTAACTAATATTGTGAAATTCACTGCTTTCATCTTTAAATTGTTTATAAAATTCTTTAAATTGAATAAATTCGTTTTCTAAGTGTTCATCAATATCATCCTGGTAAATTTTAACAAGTTTAATTGCTTCATTTTCAATTTCTTGGTTACTTAGTTGTTCTATTTTTCAAAGAAAGCCAAATCGTTCGTATACCAATTCATAAGCACACAATCGTCTATCCAAGTTAGAAATAAAAGTATCAATTACAGATAAAAATTTTGAATTTTGAATTTTTGAGAAGAAATTAAATCTACCTCGGGTGTTTCATAAAAATGCATTGGATTTAAACGGATATTTCTTTGCCGTTAACGGTGTTTCAAATAATCTGTTGTTTTCGAAATTTCTGCTCCTTGTTTTTCATATTGATCAAAGTTATCACGTTTAGCTTGAATAAAATTCTTTAAAGAATTAATAGCAGATATTGCAGTATTAAGGTCTAATGTCGCATTTTGCAGTAATTTATTAGTTTTATTTACTTTTTAAAGGATATTATTCCAAAAAACCGTGTAAATTCCAGTTTCAAGTGTGCACTATTTGTTGTATAAACACTTTGCATCGCAACGCGTTTTTGTTGTTTGTTCAAAGTCATCAGCTATTTGAATTAGAGTACTTTTAAATTGTTTATAGCCTAGTATAAGAGCTTTTGTTGCATCAGATCTGCATGACCATCGTGTAGTATTAACTCGTTGTGGTACATGGATACGAGTTTTGGTATTTTCTAAACTTAGAACTTTAATCAGTAGTTCATAACGTTTTGTTGATGCCGTATAAAATACACTTATCCACTTTATAAAGAAGATAGGGTACGTATTTTATGACTTTTTGTGGTATAACTTAATGCAAAATCACATAGCAAATATATATAAAATATTTTTTCAGTACTCTAATTTAAATATCATAAAATTGTGGGGGCCCCGAATTTGTGGGGGTTCCTGGGCTGCAGCCCACTCAGCCCTTCCCTAAATCCGGCCCTGTTCATTTGTTATATTATTAAAAAGCATATTAATATCTTTATGAGACAAAAACAAATTTGTGTCATCTGCAAAATTTATTGTTGTTAAATTTGATGATTTATGAAGATCATTTATGTATAAGTTTATTAAAAAAATAAGAGGACCAAGTATGGATCCTTGTGGAACACCACATGTTATATTCATTAATAGATGAGATATATAATCGTTATTGTAAACAAACTGTTTACGGTTAGTAAGATAACTTTCAAACCATAATAGGGTTTTATTTTTAATACCATATGGTATTAGTTTTTTTAACAGGATTTGACGATTGACGGTTATCAAATGCCTTGGATAAATCAATAAATACTCCTAGTGTAAAACAAGAGTCTTTAAATGAATCAGTTATATTGCGTGTAAGTTGAAGAATGGCATGCTCGGTTAAATTATTTTTTTTGAAACAAAATTGGTTTTCATATAGAATTTTATTTTCAACAAGATAAGATTAAATTCGGTTGTACATTATTCTTTCT